ATCCCGGCGGGCATTGCGCGAACTTAATTGAGGTGTTAGCTTTGAATCCCCAGAAATTTGGCCTCGCTTTGACGACAGCATCAAGACAGCTTCCCCTGCGCGGACAAGGCTTGCATTTAACGTTGTCGATTGCAGTAATCGTGAGTTGTGCTCTTTTCATTGCATACGTTTTCTGCGGACACTTCTCGCATTTTATGTAGATGTATGTACAATACAATTTGTTCCAATAATTTTTGCAGATTTTTTGCGATTGTAGTACATATCCTTGTGGGCATAGGACTTTGAAATTATTATGAAAAGCAACTACCTTTTTTCTAATTTCGTATGTTAGCGTACGTAGAAAAACGGTTTGGTCATTGTTCAAAGTGGCCATGTCAAATACGTTTGTGCCTGTGAAAGAGACCGATGTTCGTCCACTCGCGTAGAACTGGGATGCAAATGAACTGATTTGGTGGTTATTAAAATGACAGTAAGAGAAGATGACGACTGCGTCTTTAGAAACGGCAACGACTCCGGTAAACGGTTTTACCCCCCCCCTTTGTTGTCATGGAAAAGACATGGCGTCACTCGGAACCTTCCTTTCCTAAAAAATATCGCCGATAAAGGATTAAATGTGTTTAAATCGTTGAAATTTTGTGTGAAGGTAATGTTGCGCAGAAAGGCGGTTGGACTTTCTCTCGACTTACTGTTATTGAAGAAGGTACCGATCACTAAAGCACAACAATTATTCTTAAATACACTGCTTAGTATTTCTGCGATAAAGGGAGCGCGTGGGTTCGAGGTTACCGTGATTTCGACCGGTGACAAATTGTTCTCTACTTTAATATTCCTTAGCGATATATACGTTCTACTGCGTTCGTTTGGATTATGATCACTCATTAGTAACGGCGCAAAATCATACTTGTCTGTCTTTCCGTGGTGATTTAAAAAAGTTGAACTCCATATTGAAACGTTTATTATAACCGCATAGGGTCTTATACAAAATAGATTGGTTGGAATTGTAGTGCATTGGCCGTCAAAAACGCTTTGACGCACGAGCACTTCAAACGCTTGCGTGCGTTTCCGTTGCCCGTTGTAAATGGTTTGAAGCAAAATCGGATTTCTTTTAAAGACACTGCTAGTGATGTGCGCTGTGAGGCTAGAACATCGCAGAGAAACTGCGAAATCTGTTTTTTCGTGAAATACTGAATTGTTTATTTTAACATTGCAATTTGTAGAACTTTTACTGTGTATGCCTATTACGTTGTCTGTGAAGGTGGTATTTTCTATGATTACCTCAAATGCGGTGGCCTCGTCGCATTCCACAGCGTTATACGCAGAGTGTAAAACTAAATTGTAAAAGCCCACGTTAACTCCAGCTCTCTTTATAGCAAAAAGGGTACCACTCTTCTTATATCTAATTATCGGTGTTTCGTTTACCCCGTGAAAAGTAATCGAGCTTTTCAACTGGATGGAGCATGCCTTTGAATCAGTAGCATTTTTGCATTCCATATATGCATGGCCGTCCCTCCGCGTATCAATATAGATATCATCTCTTGATTAGAGATTCCACTGCACGTCGCACAGTGCGACATGCTGTAGTCCAGTTGCAGCAATCATTGAGATCAGTAGCAATAGTGTGCTGACTGACAAACCACGATTTCGAGAGAACGCAAACATTTGCTAGATAAATAGAACGTTGTGTGAGTGACAATTAAAGTGTTATACGCCGTACACTGCTTGTGGCGATTCACTTTTAGTGAACAAAACTTGTTCGTCCTCTCTAAACTAATAGTTTTTTGTTAACAGAGGTCAATCAGGCCATTCCATTCTGCCGTCATGATAGTTTAAAGAATGAGTCTCGACCGTTTGTCTTTGGTTTTATTTGAATTCGCACGGCCGAAATGCGATGTGTAACTAGGCCCTATTTTCTTAATTGTAATTACTCGGGCTACTTGTTGTAGACGAATCTGGGTTTCGCGGTTTCTTTCTTCTGTCGCAGGCTTAGTCTTCCGCGCGGACAGCGTATTTACAGTGTATCAATATAGCTTAGTCTCAGTGCAGTTTCGATCGCTTTCTTTTGAAATATTTGCAGTTAGTTAACTTACGATCTATTTCGCAACTTGTGAAGTGTTCGCATGTTTGACAGCGGTCAAGTTGAACTAATTGTCCAGTTTAACATGACATGTAATTATTTTTTTGACAAACTATTTTCTACAAGTGATAATATTTAACCCACTGTAAATTGCGAAGTTAATCAAAATCAATGTTTACATTTCGTTAAGAGTAAGGGCTTCGCGTAGCCCGGCCGTGGTGTAAACAAACGCGTTGTTGTCCGCACGATGCCAAAAGAATTTAAAAACGCTTAAAATGTTTTTAATTGTTAGATATATAAAGTGAAAAGAACAGTGGAAAATGTCGTATAAAACCAATACCCCATACAATAGGGAATATAAAATGATACGTGAAGATCCGGCTCCCTCACATGAAAATTTCCAAAGTAAGACTCGACCTCAATAACACTCATTTGATGCTAAAATATAGCAATATAAGTTGAGCATAACCCACAAGGCCTGAAACAAGTCTCGTTAATAATAATATGGAAACGATTTGATACGGTACGCACCGTTTGCATATACTTTTCATTTATCCGTCCATCCACGCGTTTTCAAACGTCGTCAAGAGAGTTCAGTCTTCCTCCGGGTAGGATTTCAAGTTTTGAAAAACTTCCTCAAAATTAATGACGTCACGTCACTCACATCTGTCACATTAATCGTGCAGCTTGGCATACTGTAATATTGTTTTTGTTCGTACATGTGATTAATTTGAGTGTTCAACTTTTAGTCTCTTTCACAAATCTTATTGAAAGTAAACCTTTCCTTACGGGTGGTACCCGGTTAGCCGCACAGTTTTTGCCACTCTGCCGTTTTCAGTTGGCGAAAACACCGGATACGTTTGAACGGAGACTGTAACCGTAAAATTATTTTTCATCAAATTCTTCCGGTATAGTGTGGATGAGGCTTATATCTCCTAAAATATATCATCCCCTGTCTCGATAAGTGACTTAATACTCGTGTGCTTCGTTTCTGCATACTTATATGAACAAGAGTCTATATCAAAATAAGCGAATTTTGAGGGCAATTTCTATAATCGGCCGAAGACTTTTGGCGTCGCTAAAATAAGAAACTATGTTAAAGTAATTTGAGTATATCTGTATGATATAAATCTTAAAATATTCAGCATTAAAAATGTGTACTAACCGTTACATAATAACAACACCAATGTTAAAGCAATACGGTCACGCATGTCAAAAGTTGGCTTACAATTCGAGTAACCTAAAGCAAAACGTTATTTTCCTGAAACAAAGCGCTCTTCGACGACTTCGTTTCTATTTTAGAGTTTAGACTCGTCTGACTTGGAGCACAGTTGAGAGATCAGTTGCGCATGCGCCAATTTAGCTGCAATTTCCGCCCCGTGTGCGATGAGTCCTGCCCGCTGTAGGATACATTCTTTTTTGCGGTCAGTGGCGGTACCAGGCTAAAATAAAAGGGAGCTAATTGGGGATCAATGAAATGTATCACGGGGGGGAAGTATGCTCTCTTTCCCCCTGTACTGCTGATGCATAATTAATTAATCAATTAATAATGGTAATTGAACGCGAAGAAGGAGTATGATTTGTAATCACAAGTTTGATTTCACACTTAAATTGCACGACACAAAGTGCAATTTCCACATTATTATTGTAATTCCTATCACATTGAATATAATCCTCTATCACATTGAAGATATACTCCAATTAACCCGGTTATCGAGCTCCGAAACGCATTGACATTGTTCTTTTATGAGTGGTTCTCTAATCAAGTAAACATTTACAATGAACATTAATATAAATTAACGACACCAAATAGTTATAAATACACTACACACTACAAATACTTATTATTTACACACTTACCAGATTGTTCGATCTAATCCTCACAAATTTCAATATTTACATGATTTAACGCACTAAATCCTATACTGTTGCTACTGATCCCGTTACTTTCTCTTTCGCCTTACTCATTGCCAGTCCCTTACCCGTTTCACCGGAAATGAAATGTAAATCAACTTATTAAATTTCAAATGTACTATAAACATATGGTAGCTACAATTACATTCATTTTGAAATCATACAAAAAATTAAACAAATTCAAAACCATTTATTGGCTGAAAGAACCGTAAACCTACTAATTCCCAAATCGCACTATTTTTGCAAGAAACACCATTGATTTCAAAATGAATATAAATCATTAGTTAATTGAATAAATACAAAAGATATATCATTGATGAAAAAATTGTACTCTTCTAAACAAATCGGCAACCAGTAATTTTATCATCTTAATAATCAAAAAAGGTAAATCGTTATAAAATTATTTTCAAACGTACAAAAATCCTGTGTGCGACATTAGAAAAAGTATGAACACTGATTGAACACCGAGTAATTTGAATGCTCCTGTTAATTATTCAGCTAAATTTATATTTCTTTTATTGTAACTTTATACATAATCAGATGTCGCAATTCGGCTTATTGGCTTTAAATCAAATCTCTCTTCTTTCATATTTGACCTCGAGCTTTCGAGAAAACAATGTACTCAATTACAATCTGCAATATCTTAAGCACTTTTGGATCAATACCAGCATTCGTCCAAATACAGACAATACTATTATGAGTAGTAGGGTTGCCAACGGAACAACAACCAGGATATTTTCGATCGTATTGAAGACGTCGAGCAAACGAACATTATCTGATAGCGATGAAAAATCTTCGCCATAATAAAGGCTTTTGATTAAAGTAAAACCACAAAGAACGGTCAAAACACAAAGTGAAAATGATTCCAAGGCATTGACACTGGGACGAGTGAAAGGTTTAATGTAAATGTGAGATGCGAGAATAGCGACACAGATTGTCAAAGTTAGCATCATTTTGACTCGATTATCGTGCACGAATGTGAGCACAATTATAAGAACCAGCCTTCTGAATATCAAGTAACCTTCCCATGGGAGAACAGAGTCAGGGAAACATAGGAATGCTTTGTGATTTCTGAATGGACCAAGAAGAACCCGAAGAATGGCTTCGTTGTTTTGGATCTTACAACCACTCTCGCTGCATGTGGGCCTGTCCTCGCGTATTTGCCCCTGGCAACCGTTGTTTGTGCGTTGACGTTGACAATGACCTTGATCTGGTAACTGCTGGATTGGACGATCTTCAGAAGAACTCTCAACGCAATAATCTTCACTAGCTTCTCTAAAACTTTCGCTGGATTCCCTGGTGTCATTGCCAGCTCGCTTCTGCCAGCGATACTCCCTGAGTACTAAATAGATCCAGAAACAACAAAATGGCAACGGGAATATGCATGCGACGCAGAATTGTGAAACGGAAATGCGATTTATTTTCAAAAGATACGCACCAAGGACAGGAACGAGACAAAACGGAAACACCGATGATACTACGTAGGCAAGAAGAATATATTGAAATGTTTGGTAGCATTTTACATTCCCATCAAGAAACAGAACCTGATTGTTTCCAACTGGTACGCAATGAAGAAGAGAAAGGCAGAGCTGGGTGGAAGAGGTGTACATTAATAATGATATGTAGGTAAAAGCTGAAGCAATACGCGCCTTGAACGTTGATGACTGCCTGGCTTCTTCATTTGCTGCTATGTTCGTCATCTCGTTGTATCCAGAGATTTTGAAGAATTTTTGAAGATACAGAACAAGAACTGAGATGATGTAAAGTATTGCCAACAATCCTAACAGGAAATAGCCAACAGAGTGCAGTATCGCAGCTTTCTGAACGGGTTGAAGACTTTGAAACGGACAATTCAAAAGCGTCGTGTCGACCAAAACCATATTCAAAATTCGTGCGATGAAATCTTTCAGATTTTCGATTACGTGGTTTCGTTTCTGTGATCCTACGGTGCCTTGAAGCAATCGTACCACTTGGTAGTAATAGAATACCACTTTGATCATTCCACCGCGTCGATTCCTTTCATTCGTTGGGGTTCTAGCAGGAATTCGCCGCGAGTTAAAAATCTTCAAGCTGCCAAAAAAAATTCTCGAAATGATCCTTTCGATCTCCTCGTGGTAAAGGAAAAAGATAAGGTAAAGAACCAATATGGCTAGTGCACTTGGGATGAATAAAGATACTGAGCATTTTGCATTGGAAATACATGACGAGCTGAACAAACCATCGGACATTCCGCTGGCGCAACGACCGCAGAGCGTTCCAGTTCGGTTACCATGGCAACTATCATAGCTGACGCAATCCTTGGAATCGCAGCAATATCCCGGCGGGCATTGCGCAAACTTAATCGAGGTGTTAGCTTTGTATCCCCAGAAATTTGGCCTCGCTTTGACGACGCCATTAAGACAGCTTCCCCCGCGAGGACAAGGCTTACAGGTGATGTTGTTGCTTGTATTAAACACGAATGCTGATTTGCTAATCGTATAGGTCTTTGGTGGACATTTCTCACAGGTTAAGTAAGCGTATGAACAATATATGCTGCGTATGTTATACTTGCAGGTCTTTTGAGAATGCAGCACATACCCTTGAGGACATAAAAGTTTAAATTCTCTTCTTAGAACAACTCCGGTGCTTCCATCAGATGGTATACGTAGAAAAACTACCTGTGCTGTATTCATTGCGGTGATGTTAAATATATTAATACCGTTGAAAGCCACCGAAGATCCCCCTTTTGCGAAAAACTGTGCTGCGGACGTTACAACTTGGCGGTTCTCAAAATAACAATCGTAAAAGTCGACCGTTGCTTCCGCAGAAACCGTTACGACTGCGGAAAACGGACTTTTGCTCGCCCTGTTGTCATGGAAATAGCTTGACGTCACTTGGTACCTTCCTTTGCCAAAAAATATTGCCGGCACAGAGTTGAATCTACCTAAACCATTGAAGTTTTGCGTGAATGTATTATTATTAAGAATGGTAGCTGGTTCTTTACTCCAGATTCTTTTTTCGAGGTTGAAGGATTCGAGGACTAAAGCTGCAGAATTGTTTCTAAATATACTGTTGGCTATTTCTACCTCAAAAGGAGCGTGCACGTTAGATATGACCTTGAGACTAATCGCTGGCAGTTTATTAAGGTTATTCTCCACTCTGACATTCCGTAACGATATATACGTCCCATTGCGTTGATTTTGATTATGGTCGCTAATTAACAATGATGAAAACGAATACAACCTTGTCATTCCGAAATGGTTCAAAAACGCCGAATTCCATATGGAAACATTTAATAAAACCGCGTATGGTATTATTGAAAACAGTTCTGTGAAAACTGTAGCGTACTCACCGTCGAAAACGCTTTGATGAACAAGAACTTCGACTGTCTGCGAGTGTTTGTGATGCTCATTGTATATAGTTTGAAGCTTAATTGGATTCCTTTTGAATACGCTGTCACTGATATGCGCTGTGAGGTTAGTACATCGCAGCAAAATTGCCCAATTCGATTTTCCTCGAAACATCGAATTGTGAACCCTAACTCCGCAGTTTGTCGAGCTTCCGCTGTGTACGCCTATAGAATAATCTGCGATAGTAGTGTTCTCTATAACTAAATCAAATGCGATTGCCTCGCCGCATTCTACGACGGTATTCGTGGATTGTAAAACTAAATTGTAAAAACCCACGTTAACTCCAGCCAAACTCTTGTTCTTTAGCGCAAAAAGGGTACAACTCCTCTTGCATCTAATAATCGGTGTTCCGTTTACCCCGTGAAAGAAAATCGACCGCTTCAACTGGATGGAGCATGCCTCTGGATCAGTAACATTTTCACATTCCATATAAGGTCGCCCTTGCGTGTGTTCGATATAGATTTCGTCTCCCTCATTACTGATTTCCACTGCGTGTCGCACGCTACGACATGCCGTAGTCCAGGAGAGGCAATCATTGAGATCAGTGGCAGTACTACGTTGACTTACAAATACAGGTTTCGAGAGCACGTACTCGTTTGCTAAATAGACAGAGCGGTGTAATAGTGTATGAGTTTTTAATACATTGCTTAATTGATCTCACTTAAGCTCAAGTTCTGTCGCGTTTGACTGTTCGTTTTTTAAACGAGAGAGATCAGAACTTGCGAAATATTTGCATCTTTACTTTGGAATTAAGAGCGGTTAGGTTGAACTAATTGGCAGGATTGTATCGAGAAGTCAAATTTCAAAAGAAACATGCATGCCATCCTTTTGCCAAATATTTGTCTGCAAGTGAAAATTGACCTAAAATTTAAAGTGCCCATGTCATAAAATTGGAATTTATATAATTAAAATCGCTGTGAAACATAAATTACGAAAAGAGTAATAACATTTGAAATTGAGTTTGTGTTCGCTGAGAAATAAAACGCTAAAGTTTAAAAAATTTTAAATTTTAACGGCAAAAGTTTTTCAAGTCTGCGAAGGTGGGAAACTGGTAACTAGTACGTCACAATAGGAACTCGCATTTTGCGCCTTTAGATAAATTATAATAGTATGTATTCCATTCGTATGTATTGACTATTCGAGTAAAGAGTAATAAGGACTAGGGGGTTAGGATTAGGGCTTTGGTTGTAAATAATAACGGTGGGTTAATCGCAATCCATACTCGCTATTTGTCTACATATTTTAATTGTTTTGTCTATGTGTTATTCATAATTGATGCTCAAGAAAATTTCTACATTAAGAACCATAGATGCTAGACTTAATCAGTCCCTAAATTTGATACATTTTGCAAATTCCGTGATGCGAACAAACGCTTTGGTCACATTTTGAACTGCTATATTTTCTCAATATGCTATATGTCTCCATATTGTCTCGATATATGTAAACTGACAGTGGTTTACTGTTTCTAAATAAATGTCGAAATATTTGTCTGCAAGAGAAAAGCGACCATAAATTCAAACAAATTCAAATCAATGTTTGTATCTCGAGTAAAAAGTAATAATGAGTGACCAGGGGCCGGTTGTATGAAAGCCGGATAGCGCTATCCATTGGATAGTGGTTTTTTCAATCGCTTTAAAATCGCCCGTTGTTTGCTATAACTTTGATTAAATCATAGTATTCCTAAATCGAGTATCCTCTTTAATAATCGCTGGTTCCAAAAATGAAATTTTATCGCTTTTCGAGCATTTTTAGAATGGTTGAAAAAATCACTATCCGGTGGATAGCGCTATCCGGCTTTCATACAACCGGCCCCAGGGCTTTGGTAGTTTGGGTTATTTTATAGTAACGGTGGGTTTATCGTAATCCTATAACTATAGTCCATACTCGCTATTTGTCTGAATATTTCTAAATTACAAACAATTGTCGGGCACAGAAATTGTAAAAACTTTCAGCACGCTGAAACAATGCTTCATGTAATCAGTCCCTAGATTTAATAAATTTTGCTAAGTCCGTGATGTTTGCCATATTTTGTCATGTCTGCTATATTTTCTCAATATGCTGTATGTCTCAGGGCTTGTTTACATGGAGCGAGTCATCCCGGCTAGGCGAGGTGAAAACTGCATAATTATAATGAAAGACAAATCAGGTTAAGCCTTTGATGTGACGCGCTTTTAACCTCGCCTACCCGAGATATTCTCGCTCCATGTAAACAGGCCCTCAATATTTAAACCGACACTGGTTGTTAACTGTGTTCCCAAATAAATATTTAAACTAGACTTTAGGACCAGAACTGGAGTTAAGGGATACCTAATCAGTCGATCTCGCAGTCGAGACATCGCTATGAGCAGAAGCGATATAGGGAATGATATAAATCTTAAAATATTTATGCATAATAAAGGTCGTACTTACCCTGACATAACAATAACACCACCGCTAAAGCAATACGGTCCAGCATGTCGAAATTAATGAACTTAAACTAAGGAGGCTTCTGACAGTTACCCGCGTATTTCAAGTATCACCGAAGCAAAGCGTTATTTCAAAGCATCCTGTAGTATCCTCTCTACTCGGATTTCACTGAGAAACTAGTTGCGCATGCGCTAATTTAGTCACAATTTCCGCTAGGATATGCGCCAGCGATAAAGAGTCTTGCTCGCTTGCCCAGAACTTGAATACGCGGAAAACATGGGAACGAGGATGATATACTACCAGATGATCTTAAAACTAAAACTTTAACTGGGACTTGTTATCAATTTCTCAAAATCAATCTCTGTGTCGAAAAAACTTATTCGAAACAAATTTATGTCAGAGCGTAGGCGGCCCAAAATCGCGCGAGAATTTTTCGGTAATTTGTCAATATGATATAGCAATGTACAATTACATTACATTATTTTGACAAATTACCGAAAAATGCTTATGGTTTCATAAAGAATAATAAAAAAATCGACTAAATACTTCAGTAAGGATTTCTTTTTCAACAACCCTTGATACCCTTCTGCGCGATGATTAACTAAGAAATTTTCTTTAATTTTTCATTTTTCTCAAATTTTCGTTTAATAAACTATTTGAAGTTCGCATACCATAACAACCTCCCTGTACAACGACAACAATTTTCTGCTGAAAACTAATGATAATATTTAGAAGAATATTGAAAATTTGATGTTACAAGTGTCACCACTTCATTAGCGACACGTCGAAGCCATAAAAATACTGATTTTAACTCTACTTATTTATGTACACATGCAATAATGTCTACGCCTGTATTCTAAGAGTAAACTCAAACTCACAGTGATAACACAACTTCTATGTCACACTCAATCATTGTGTGTGTGTACGTGTGAGTGAGCTTTTTACTGAAATATATAGGTGTTGATCATAGATGGGCACTGCATAATCTGGATGTTCTTTTCTATCTATTCAGCCATCTCTTTATTCCGCTTTCTTGTAAGTTTATACACACTCAAGGGTCTCGCCTTCGGCTGAAAGCCAACACTTTCTAGGATCACGCTTCTCTTCTCTGTATACTTGTCCTCGGACTATCGGGAAAACGATGTAATTAATTACTTTCTGCAATATCTTAAGCACTTTCGAAACAGTACCAATAACCTTCCCAACACAGACAATACTACTATGAGTAGTAGGATCGCCAACGGAGCAACCACCAGGATATTTTCGATCGTATTGAAGAGGTTGAGTAAAGCGACATTGTCTGAAAGCGATGAGAAATCCTCGCCATAATAAAGGCTTTTGATTAAAGTGAAACCACAAAAAACGGTCAAAACAGAAAGTGAAAGTGATTCAATGGCATTGACACTTGGAAGAGTGAAAGGTTTAATGTACATGTGAGATGCAAGAATAGCGACACAGAGTGTCAAAGTTAGCATCATTTTGAGTCGATTATCGTGCACGAATGTGAGCACAATTATAAGAACCAGCCTTCTGAATATCAAGTAACCTTCCCATGGAAGAACAGAGTCAGGGAAGCATAGGAATGCTTTGTGATTTCTGAATGGACCAAGAAGAACCCGAAGAATAGCTTCGTTGTTTTGGATCTTACAACCACTCTCGCATGTTGGCCTGTCCTCGCGTATTTGTCCCTGGCAACCGTTGTGTGTGTGTTGACGTTGACAATGAACTTGTTCTGGTAACTGCTGGATCGGACGATCTTCAGAAGAACTTTCAACGCAATAATCTTCACTAGCCTCTCTAAAATTTTCGCTTGGTTCCCTAGTGTCATTGCCAGCTCGTTTCTGCCAGCGATACTCTTTGAGTACCAAATAAATCCAAAAACAACAAAATGGCAACGGAAATATGCATGCGACGCAAAACTGGGCAACCGAAATACGATTCATTTTCAAAAGATACGCACCAAGGACAGGAACGAGACAAAACGGAAACACCGATGATACTACGTAGGCAAGAAGAATATATTGAAATGTTTGGTAGCATTTTACATTCCCATCAAGAAACAGAACCTGGTTGTTTCCAACTGGAACGCAATGAAGAAGGGAAAGGCAGAGCTGGGTGGAAGAGGCGTACATCAATAATGATATGTAGGTAAAAGCTGAAGCAATACGCGCCTTGAACGTCCATGAGTGTCTGGCTTCTTCACTTGCTGCTATGTTCCTCATCTCGTTGTATCCAGAGTTTAAGAATTTTCGAAGTCTCTGAACAAGAACAGTGATGATGTAAAGTATTGCCAACAATCCCAACAGAAAATAACCAACAGAGTGCAGTATCGCTGCCTTCTGAACGGGTTCAAGACTTTGAAACGGACAATTCAATAGCGCTGTGTCGACTAAAACCATGTTCAAAATTCGTGCGATGAAATCCTCCAGATTTCCGAATATACGATTTCGTTTCTGTGATCCTACGGTGCCTTGAATCAATCGTACCACTTGGTAGTAATAGAATACAACTTTGATCAGTCCGCCGCGTCTATTCCTTTCATTCGTTGGGGTTCTAGCAGGAATTCGCGGCGAGGTGAAAATCTTTAAGCTGCCAAAGAGATTTTTCGCGATAATCCTTTCAATCTCCACGTGATAAAGGAAGAAGATAAGGTAAAGAACCAATATGGCTAGTACACTTGGGATGAATAAAGAGACTGAGCATTTTGCATTGGAAATACATGACGAGCTGAACAAACCATCGGACATTCCGCTGGCGCAATGACCGCAGAGCGTTCCAGTTCGGTTACCATGGCAACTATCATAGCTGACGCAATCCTTGGAATCGCAGCAATATCCCGGCGGGCATTGCGCGAACTTGATCGAGGCGTTAGCTTTGTATCCCCAAAAATTTGGACTTGCTTTCACGACACCATCAAGACAGCTTCCCCCTCGAGGACAAGGCTTACAGGTGATATTGTTGTTAGCACTGATCGTGAATTGACCTCTTGTGATGGCATATGTCTTCGGCGGACACTTCTCGCAGGTTATATAAACATATGCACAATAAATCTTGCGTCCAGAATTGTTGCAGACCTTTTGAGAATGCAGTACGTATCCTTGTGGACATAGGATTTTGAAATTACCTTTTAAGACAATTCCTACTGCTCTCTGAAATGGTATACGTACAAAAATTGCTTGCCCTGTGTTCAAAGCAGTTATGTTGAATGTATTTTTACCCGTGAAAGAAACCGAAGATCCTCCTCTCGCATAAAACTGAGCTGCCGCCGAAATTATTTGACGGTTTTCAAAATAACAATCTAAGAATACCGCGTTTGAAAACTGGGAAACGGTGACGACTGCGGAGAACGGGTTTTTACCTGCCATGTTGTCATAGAAACGGCATGACGAAACTTGGTACTTTCCCGGCAGGAAAGAAATCGACGTGGCAAGTTTTATTGGGTCTATACCATGGTAATTTTGCATAAACGTATTGTTGTACAGAAAGACCGGAATTTTAGATAACGACCTATTTCGGTTGTACGGCACGGTTTGGACAACCAAAGCGCCAGAATTATTTCTGAATATACTGTTCATGATCTCGACCTTAAATGAAGCGTGTGGGCTGGATGAGACCACAACTTTAGCCGGTGAGAAATTGTTCTCCACGTTGACATCCCTTAACGCTATGTACGTTATCTCACGTTTGTCTGCATTACAGTCACTTATTAACAGCGAGTTTTTATCCTTCAATCCTCGATGATTCAAAAACGACGAACTCCAAATGGAAACGATTAATGAAACCGCGTAAGGACTTACAAAAAATAGCTCGCCCTCAAGTGTTCTGTATTGCCCGTCGAAAATGCTTTGACGAACAAGCACTTCGACTGTTTGTGAGCGTTTGTGATGTTCGTTGTAAGTAGTTCGAAGCAAAATTGGACTTCTCTTAAATACGCTGTTAGCTATGTGCGCTGTGAGGTTAGTGCATCGTAGCCAAATTGCCCAATTTGTTTCTCCCTGGAAAACTGAATTGTTTATTTTAACCCCGCAGTTTGTAGAACTTTTACTGTGCACGCTCATCAAGTTATCTGTGAAGGTGGTATTTTCTATGATTACCTCAAATGCGGTTGCCTCGTCGCATTCCACAGCGGTATTCGCAGAATGTAAAACTAAATTGTAAAAGCCCACGTTAACTCCAGCCAAACTCGTATTCTTTATTGCAAAAAGTGTATAACTTTTCTTGCAACTGATTATCGGTGTTCCGTTTACCCCGTGAAAAGAAATCGACCTCTTCAACTGGATGGAGCTTGCCTTTGCCTCGGTGGTATTTTCGCATTCCATATAAGGTCGTCTTAGCACGTGATTAATATAGATTTCATCTCCGTCATCCGAGATCTCCACTGCATGTCGCACGGAACGACATGACATAGTCCAGTTGCGGCAATCATTGAGATCAGTGGCAGTACCACTTTGACTTACAAACAAAAGTTTGGAGAGCACGTACTCGTTTGCTAAATAAATAGAACAACGTATGAGTGTCTTTACAATGGTGTTTACATGGATTCTTTCTGCTTGTTCTAAAAAAAGCAATTTTACTCAGCTCTCGGAAGGCGGGAAATGGCCCAAGCGTTCGGAACAGTCTTCTTAGTGTTTATTCCTGTATGGAAATGCATTAATAATAATAATTACCGACTAGAATTATAAATTGTAAGTGAAATGCTGCAAGTGAATACACGCAGTGCCTTTATCTTCCCCCAATCATTTCTTGGGCAGTCTTCAGGATTGTAATGGCAATATTGCGTGTCAAAAAACTTGATTGATCTTGGATGAAAGGCAACAATTAGGCATGGATGGACGTGTGCTTTTGAGCTCCTTGTTTTTGGCATGTATTTTCTTGCCTTCTGGACCTGATGTTGTTGGATTCGACCACTCGTTGTCTCGCGATGTTTCTGTATCGACAGATATGGTGTTTGGATGGAAGGACTGTGATATAAAGCTGGAATTTTTGAACTTGCTGGTCGACTTTTGCAAGCCGGTGCTTGATCATGCAAAGCGGAGTATTGCGCCATCGGTCAATTTTACTATGTTTGCCGGTTTGGGAACTGTCGTTTTTAACGGCAATTTGGTTGGTTGTGATAACTCATTGGAATATGTTTCTAATAAGCGATATTCTGGAAGAAAGCAACAAATACAGCGAATCTATGTCTTTTCCTTTGGTTTTACAACGGTGGTCAGCCAACCTAATCGTGCTCAGATTTGCATACTGTTAATTCGTAAACATTTGCATTTGCTCTATGGACTTAAGAAACGGAAGCTATCTAAATCTAAAGCCATGTACTATCCAAACTCTACTGCGACAAGAAGATTGTTATTACTATCTGGTGATGTTGAACAGAACCCTGGATGGGAAGGTCAATCTGAAACACAACAATTCGATCAACAATCAATAATGGTACACAAACGAAATCAGTCTGCCACTAACTTAAGCTCGAATTTAAGCATTCCTGTGCGTATTACCGAAAGAATGAATTTATATCGGCAATTGAATGTATCTCGTAGCCCAAACAATTGCATAAGCGTTGATATTAACAACAGTCTGCTGTCATCCAACAATTTTAAAAGCCTTAACTTTTGTCTTATAAATACTCGATCCCTTAATAACAAATCCGCTGAGTTTATAGATTTCATATGTGATCGTCAACCTGATATTGTCGCCTTAACTGAAACCTGGTTCCACGAACATGAAACTGCTGCTAGATCTCTTTGCACGCCTACAGGTTACAACCTTTTTGATCACCCACGACTCGGCCGACATGGTGGTGGTACTGGAGTACTGTTTAGGAATAATCTGACTGTCAACCGAGTATCTGCTGCAGAACGTCGATCGTTTGAATACTCTGAGTGGCATATAAAAGCAGGGACCAGACGTATTCGTTTAATCGTTGTTTACAGAATACCATACTCTGATATTCATCCCATATCTACCACAACATTTTTTGATGAGTTTTCCAAATTTCTTGAATCTGTGGTCCTCTGTACTGACTTACTTCTGATTACCGGTGACTTTAATATCCATGTTGATGTGACTGATGATGCTGATGCTGTTAAACTTCAGGAACTACTCGAGAGTACTGGTCTACAGCAACATGTCAATGTCCCAACTCATATCCATGGACATACTTTAGATCTTATCATAACAAGACTTTCCGAAAATATCATTGCTTCTCCACCTCGAAATGATCATTTGTTTTCGGATCACATGCCTGTTCATTGTAATCTTCTAGTCAACAAGCCTGACCTTAAGAGAATCAATATATCCTACAGGAAAATTAAATCCATCAATGTTGATGCCTTCCGTAACGATCTCTCTAATTCAGATCTCTGTAAAAACATGCTTTCGATGGAGCTCAATGATCTTGTTGACAGTTACAATGATACATTGTCCTCAACATTGGATCGACATGCACCTGTGAAATGCAAAACAGTTATAAAAAGACCGACCGTTCCCTGGTTTACCGAGGAAGTCAAGTTAGCGAAAAGAGCACGAAGGCGAGCAGAAAGGAAATGGCGGCGGACTAAACTGCATAGTGATTTCCTTCTATATAAATCAAAGAAAAATCAAGCTACATTTATAATGAAGCGTGCACGTAAAGAATACTACACTACCTTTATACATGAGAATAGCAGTGATCATCGTAAACTGTTCAAGTCTGCCAAATTTCTTTTTAATCAAGAAACTGATTTGCACTTTCCAGAATACAGTGATAGCACGGCTCTTGCAAATGACATAGGTGACTTCTTCGTCAAGAAAATCGAGTGCATTAGACAGGAACTTGATAGTGCAATTTATGACAATTTTACAACTCACCACTCTGATATTATCACCAACGAAATCATGCCTGATGTTCAACTGGACTCGTTCAAGGCATTAACTGAGGATAATGTTAGCCAGATTATCTCAAACTCGAGCAAAAAATCATGCTCCTTGGACCCCATGCCCACTTATCTTGTGGTCCATTGTTTGGATGTTCTTCTGCCGGTAATTACAAGACTGATAAACTTGTCTCTACAATCTGGATGTTTTCCTGAAAAGTGGAAACTGGCTAATGTCTGCCCGAGCTTAAAGAAGTTAAACACTGAGGTTATATTTGATAATCTTCGCCCGATCAGCAACCTCTCATTTGTGTCCAAACTCACGGAACGAGCTGCCTTCAATCAAACCCATGATCATCTTACCGCTCACCAACTTTATCCCAAAGCTCAATCCTCCTACCGCCAATATCATAGTACCGAAACTGCTCTTCTACGTGTAAAAAATGACATCCTGATGAATATGAATAAACAACATGTAACTCTTTTGGTGCTACTTGATCTGAGTGCAGCATTCGATACTGTTGACCATACCATCCTATTGGATCGACTCTACTCTAGTTTTGGAATTACAGGTCGTGTACTAGATTGGTTTAAATCATATCTTGAGAAAAGATCTCAACGTATTTGTATCAACGGTTGTGAATCTAGATCATTTGAAATGAGGTATGGTGTTCCGCAAGGGTCTTGTCTTGGTCCTTGTTTGTTTGTCATCTACGCAAGCAAACTGTTCACCATCATTGAAAACCATCTACCTGATGCCCATGCATTTGCAGATGACTCGCAATTATACATTTCATTTAAACCTGGATCCATGGTTGAAGAGTCTGCTGCCATTAAGGCAATGCAAGATTGCATTATGGACATCAGGAAATGGATGCTGGCAGATAAACTGAAACTGAACGATGACAAAACAGAGTTTATCATCATTGGAACAAAGCAACAGTTGGCAAAAGTTAGTGTAGATTCACTGCGCATTGGGAATGAGATGATCAAATCATCTTGTGTGGTAAAGAATCTTGGTTCCTGGTTCGATACGCAGCTGAAAATGGATGTGCACATCAATAAATCCTGCAGAGCAGCATTTTTCCATCTATGTAATATTAGACGTATCAGGAAGTTTCTCAGTTTTGATACGACACAAATTCTTGTTAACGCTTTCATTACGAGTCGATTGGACTACTGTAACAGCCTCCTGTATGGTCTGCCCGCCAACCAGATATGCAAGCTTCAACGAGTACAGAACTCCGCAGCAAGACTGATCTGTGATATTAATCGGTTTGATCACATCACCCCTGTGCTGTATAAATTACATTGGCTTCCTGTTAGATACAGAATTAACTTTAAAATATTACTCATCACTTATAAGGCCATTAACGGATTTGCTCCTGAATACATCTCTGAACTCATTAAATTGAAGGTTGCAACCAGATATAATTTACGATCATCAACTGCATTGTTGCTTGATATACCGAGAACAAAAACATTAAAGACGCTGGGAGACCGATCGTTTGAAGTAGCAGCACCTACGTTGTGGAACAGCCTCCCGGCTGAAATTCGTAATGCATGTAATATTTCTACGTTTAAGAAAATGCTTAAAACGCATTTTTTTATAAAAGCATTTTCCTCCATGTTATGACCAGAACAACTTTTATCTAGTTCTGATCTAGATTTATTGTATGACGTTTTGTAAATTAGTGTATATTTAAATTTTACCAGCAAATTTTTACGATACTATGTAATGCGCGAGTGAGCATCTATCTATGTAACACGCGCAATAGAAATTTTTTAAATTAAATTAAATTAAATTTATATTATGCCATAAACGTATAAAATATTATATCGAGGTTATGCTGATGAGAATTATTTCCCTTTCGACTAAACGTGATCTTGGCTGACGCAAGCAACGTACACATAAGTGTGCGAATATGAAGCATTACGCATTCGCGCAGGATGAAACCGCAGTACTATAGTACGTTTACTCAAAAAACTACCCTGACAAACAAAAATCGCTGAAATGGAGATGTACGTCAAGAATGTAGGCTTTAGAGGGGATTCCCACAGTCCCACTGATATGTCGCGTAATTGAATTTTCCTGTTCTGTAACTTCCGTTAGGCTGTTGGCTGTTCGCAGTTCGTTTTAAAACCGAGAGCGATCGGAATTTGCAAATTATATGTGCACGTTAACTATTCAATCGTGACTTGTGAGCGGTCAGGTTCAACTAATTCGCATGTTAGGTGTTGTGTAGTCAAAACTCAAAACAAACATGCATGGAATTTTTTGGCAAAATATTTGTCTGCAAGAGAAAAGCGACCGGAAGTTCAAACAAATTCAAATCAATGTTTATATCTGGAGTAAAAAGTAATAATGAGTGACCAGGGCTTTGGTAGTTTGGGTTATTTTATAGTAACGGTGGATTCATCGTAATCCTATAACTATAGTCCATACTCGCTACTTGTCTGAATATTTTATTGTTTTGTCTCTGTGTTATTTGATACTCACAAAATTTCTAAATTACAAACAATATTCGGGCACAGAAATTGTAACTGACTTTCAGCACGCTGAAACAATGCTTCATGTAATCAGTCCTTAAATTTAATAAATTTTACTGAGTTCGTGATGTTTGCCAACCTTGTACTCAGCCTTTGGTCTCATTTTGAACTGCTATATTTTCTCAATATGCTAGGCGAGGTGAAAACTGCATAATTATAATGAAAGACTAATCAGGTTAAGCCTTTGATGTGATGCGCTTTTAACCTCGCCTAGCCGAGATAACTCGCTCCATGTAAACAGGCCCTCAATATTTAAACCGACACTGGTTGTTAACTGTGTTCCTAAATAGATATTTGAACTAGAGTTTAGGACCAGAACTAGAGTTAAGGAATACCTAATCAGTCGATCTCGCAGTCGAGACATGCTATGAGCAGAAGCGATACAGGGAATGATATAAATCTTAAAATATTTAGGCACAACAAAGGTCGTACTTACCCTGACATAACAATAACACCACCGCTAAAGCAATACGGTCCAGCATGTCGAAATTAATGAACTTAAATTAAGGAGGCTTCTGACAGTTTATACCCGCGCATTTCAAGTATCACTGAAGCAAAGCGTTATTTCAAAGCATCCTGTAGTATCCTGTCTACTCGGATTTCACTGAGAAATTAGTTGCGCATGCGCTAATTTAGTCACAATTTCCGCTAGGATATGCGCCAGCGATAAAGAGTCTTGCTTGCTTGCCCGAAACTTGAATACGCGGAAAACATGGGAACGAGGATGGTATACTACCAGATGATCTTAAAACTAAAACTTTAACTGGGACTAGTTATCAATTTCTCAAAATCGATCTCTCTGTCGAAACAACTTATTCGAAACAAATTTATGTCAGAGCGTAGGCGGCCCAAAATTGCGCGAGAATTTTTCGGTAATATGTCAATATGATATAGTAATGTACAATTACATTACATTATTTTGACAAATTATCGAAAATGCTTATGGTTTCATAAAGAATAATAAAAAAATCGACTAAATACTTCAGAAAGGATTTCTTTTTCAACAATCCTTGTTACCCTTCTGCGCGATGATTAACTAAAAAATTTTCTTCAATTATTCAATTTTCTCAAATTTTCGTTTAATAAACTATTTGAAGTTCGCATACCATAACAACTTCCCTGTACAACGACAACAATTTTCTGCTGAAAACTAATGATAATATTTAGAAGAATATTGAAAATTTGATGTTACAAGTGTCACCACTTCATTAGCGACACGTCGAAGCCATGAAAATACTGATTTTAAATCTACTTATTTATGTACACATGCAATAATGTCTACGCCTGTATTCTAAGAGTAACCTCAAACTCACAGTGATAACAAACTTCTATGTCACACTCAATCAGTGTATGCGTGTACGTGTGAGTAAGCTTTTTGAATATACAGCCGTTGATCATAAATGTGCACTACATAATTTGGATAATCTTTTCCATCTATTCAGCCATCTCTTTATTCCGCTTTCTTGTAAGTTTACACACACTCAGGGGTCTCGCCTTCGGCTGTAAGCCAACACTTTCTAGCATCAAGCCTCTCTCCTCTGTATACTTGTCCTCGAACTATCGAGAAAACGATGTAATTAATTACTTTCTGCAATATCTTAAGCACTTTCGAATCAGTAACATTAACCTTCCCAACACAGACAATACTACTATGAGTAGTAGGATCGCCAACGGAGCAACAACCAGGATATTTTCGATCGTATTGAAGACGTTGAGTAAAGCGACATCGTCTGAAAGCGATGAGAAATCCTCGCCATAATAAAGGCTTTTTATTAAAGTGATACCACAAAAAACGGTCAAAACAGAAAGTGAAAGTGATTCAATGGCATTGACACTTGGACGAGTGAAAGGTTTAATGTATATGTGAGATGCAAGAATAGCGACACAGAGTGTCAAAGTTAGCATCATTTTGACTCGATTATCGTGAACGAATGTGAGCACAATTATAAGAACCAGCCTTCTGAATATCAAGTAACCTTCCCATGGGAGAACAGAGTCAGGGAAGCATAGGAATGCTTTGTGATTTCTGAATGGACCAAGAAGAACCCGAAGAATGGCTTCGTTGTTTTGGATCTTACAACCACTCTCGCTGCATGTGGGCCTGTCCTCGCGTATTTGTCCCTGGCAACCGTTGTTTGTGTGTTGACGTTGACAATGACCTTGATCTGGTAACTGCGGGATCGGACGATCTTCACAAGAACTTTCAACGCAATAATCTTCACTAGCCTCTCCAGAATTTTCGCTGGGTTCCCTAGTGTCATTGCCAGCTCGTTTCTGCCAGCGATACTCTTTGAGTACCAAATAAATCCAAACACAACAAAATGGCAACGGGAATATGCATG